GGGTCATATTAATATCTAGTAGTAACTTAGGGAAACGTATTTATATGACTATTCTAGTACTATACGGAACAACAATGGAAAATTTAATGCAAGGCAGTTTCACAATTTACATTTACATAACTATTTGAGGTGCAATACCTCGCCATACAGGAAAGGAAATCTCACAAGTATGGTTCATATAGACTTAAACCCTTTGCGATTTGAATGTTTCTTATCTAGCACATGCGATAGTTATAGAAGCAAATAGCACCTTATATATAGAATGGCTTATTATAAGGAAATACAGTTGTTTTTATAGTACCAGATTGACCTCTACAGTAAAAAAAAAAGGGATAATAAATCACACTATGGAGAGGTAAAAAGCAATCTGCCATGCATTTTCTGCCAGTTGTAAACTAATTAATATCAGAGAATGTTTTTCTGCTTTAATAAATCGGATTAAGAGCTGACCTGCATGTGCAAGGCTGTTGTAGCTGGCATCAAGGGAATGTTGAGGAGTATTGTTTTAATTTAGAAACCCATAAATACAGTATATGCTGAGCTTTGAATGTAGATCTAGAACTACACAAATCGAGTTCCCTCCATTATAAAATACATGATGGACTGTTAATCCTTCAGTGGGACGAGTGAAGATTTTTTCAGAATCTTACTAAGCATTTGTAATAGCACTCAGGAACATTTGCTGACGTTTTATGAGTTTTATGAGGGTCATGAGGTTTTATCCTGAAGAGTATAGTGTTACAAGAAGTTTGAAGGTAATTTGGAAATGGATGAATTTAAGGATGGTCATTGATCATTTATACAAACGTCAATCTGAAGTTTCTACCAGCCATCCTATAAAAGACGAGTGTTTAATTGGTGTACATTTCACAGACAATTTCATCAGCCTGTTAACATATGATATATAACTGAGTATTTAGTTACCATTATAGAGCATTTACAGTTATGTAACACATTTATACAAAGCAAAATGGGAGTGATGATATGAATGTACTGAGATATGAAAGGTATCGTGTGCTACACTGTAAAAAAAAATTCCGTAAAATTTACCACACAACCCTAATATACAAAACTGATAAGAAAAAACTAAGAAGAAACATAGTTATTTCAACAGAAAAACATCAAATTTGAAATGTAACGCAGGGAATTCTGGGAATGTCAATTTACAGTTATTCACTGTAAATTGTACGGTCTAAAAAAATGGTATACTACCGTAAAATTACATGTAATGTATCCACCGTATATAATAGGGGAATTTACCGTTAACCATTTAACAGGTTTTTACTGTAGCATTTTTACAGTCTTTTACCATTAAATTCACAGTCATTTTTTACAGTGTACAGTATGATTGTACATTCAACACATTTTGATCTTCCCAGAATTTATTGCTCTGATGTTGCTCTTTCAGAGTTCAGGCTTAATGAAGTTCTCGGTTGCACATCAACTTTGTTTCAGATGTATCTGCTAGAATAAACAGATACAAATTAGACATTTATTAACATACAGAAGAAGAAAAAAATGCTAAAATTTGCTGAAAATGTCCTCACCCTAAGGTCATCCAAGTTGTATATGAGTTTGTTTCTTCATCAGAACAGATTGGAAGAAATATGCATTCAAAAAAAAAAAGAAAAGAAAAGCCAATACGTTCTCAGGTGCATAGAACAAGAAGTATAATCAACCAGGTAGCCGAAATTGTCCGCACACTGGAAACATATATCATATATATGTCTGATTATATCATATATAACATATATCTTTTATTTTTCATAAGCAAAAGTGACAAAAATGCAGTGTCTTAAAAACAGACCAAAGAGTAGATGTTTCAGCCCATGCTTTCTTCTATGCTCAATTATTTTAATGGATATATACGCAATAATTGTGTTGCGCTCTTGGGCTTTAACGGCTGGCTATGCCGCTGTGTGGTCTGATGTCTTTGTCAGTTCGCCGCTGGTTTGGAAGATAAGGAAGGAGTGGAAGAGTTTAGTAAGTCACGTGACCTACATATCTGCACGTAGGGATATTGGATGTATTAGACACACTAGTTTATTTGTGTGTGCTTTTCTTGTATGTTTTGATTTTGTATATTCAGTGTAGTTTATGACGCTTTTGCGTTGAATACTTTTTTTCCCCCTTTTTCTTTTATAGTTTAGGGGTTTGGGGATTTAGTTAGTCAGTGGGATTTTTCTTTTCTTTTATTTTATGATTTAAGCGCCACTTTAACTTCCCTTCTTTTCCTTTGTCTTGTTTGTTTAATTTGTTGTTCTTTGGGGGCAATAAATCCTTCTTGTAGTGCAGTTTTGCGTCATTGCCACTTAGTTCCCTGGCTTATTTCTTTAATATGTCAACTTAATGTTACCTCTTTTAATCCCTAAACAAAAATTTACATCAGAGACGTAACAATTAGTAATTGTGCCTATAAAAGTGTGATGTTGCTGTTTGCCTCATGATCACTGAAGAAAGCATGGGCTAAAATGTCTGCTCTTTGGTCTGTTTTTTAAGACACCTTGCATTTTTGTCACTTTTTCACTTTTGCTTATGAAAAATAAAAGATATATTTTTGATAGACCTTTTTTTTTTTGGTCTGATTGCATTTTTTCCAGTGTGCGGACAATTTCAGATTCAATTTTGCTTCTTGCAAACACGCAGCTTTTCATTTCACAAGCTGCTAATTGATGGACTAGAGTTTTATGGATTACTGTGATGTTTTTATCAGCTGTTTAGACTCTCATTCTGACGGCACCCATTCACTGCAGAGGATCCACTGGTGAGCAAGTGATGTGATGCTACATTTCTCCAAATCTGTTCCCATGTAGAAACAAACTGATGAGTAAATGTTCATTTTTGGGTGAACTATTCATTTGAGCAAAAGTCTGCATTCAATCTTATTGCTATCTTGGAGAAACAATTGAGATATTAAAGTGATCTTATTTGTGATTTTTCTTTCAAGATTCACCTAATACAAATTGTAGAAACTCTTTGTGAGCAAAATAAGTCAAATTAATTATATGGTTGTACATCAGAAAGAAGCGAGATTCTCAGAACATTGTGTTCCCAATCTGTTGCTGCAGAGAAGATACCCCATGCCTTAATGTAAAGTACACAAGCAGAAACGTTGCTGATATTCACTGTTTGTATTTTAAATGTAATGAATCCTTTATGTATTATATGTGTATTATAATGTGTAAAATCTGTGTCATATTGTTTGTTTGACGGTTATTCATCTACTCTAGCCCATTGTAACCATGTTATTTTCACAGTATTGTCTCTGTGTTATGTGAATGTGTTATCATACATTGTCTTTCATTGCCAAGATTATATGGATTGCTGAGTCCAGTCTCCTTGAATTAGTGTGGTAATCTGCACCACTATGATACAGATGGAGAATATGGATTAGTATGATAAAAAAAAGTATGTATTGAAATTAAATACGATCAGTTAGGTGCACATTGTACACCTTTTAAATCTTGACTACCTTGACATGCTGTGTGCAAATAGGCTAATGTTTTGGTCTGCTATAAAAATGGTAAAAAATAAAAAGATAATATATATATATATATTTTTTTTTTCCATGGGGATGCTGAGCACTATGCAGCATAATATACAGCATGCAGTGCCCTCCAAAGTAATCATGCACTTCCACGCAGTTTCAGCCACTGAAGCATGTCTTTTATTTTATTTCACTCTCAGATAAGATACATAATCAGGGGTTAACGCAGAAGAATATACAATATGTAAGTTAAGAACAGAATTAAATAATTAAAAAGAATTGCTTTTACATCCTATAGGAGCCCATTTTAATGAGCTCGAGGTCCTAGTGCCACCACTGCAAAGAAGCACAAACCAAACAGAGTGTCAGCAGCACCATGATACGTTGTTTTTGCTGCACAATTACAATAATGTAGGGCCAGTGCAGCAAAGAAGCCATTGGAAGCCTTGAAATCAAATGACTGAAAGCAAAACTTGAATGTTCTCTCAGTATTTAGAAGCCTGATGTTGACCATTTGTATGGGAAACAGGCATCATTTCCATGAGCTGGTATTGGGGAGGGGGAGTTTGTATTTTCAGGAGACCTGCAGCATGTGTTCTGGAAATGTGTAAATAGTGTTTAATAAACACAAACAAGCAGTTTGCATTTTGTATTTGTGTGTGTTTTTTTTTGTGTGTATAGAATCCACCCCCTCTTACTGCCATTGGTTTGCACTGCTATTAGCAGACATCTGGGTCTATAGATGCTCAATCAATTTTTGTTTGTTGTTGGTGTGGCGGTGCATTTATTTATTTATTTATTTTTTTGTCCCCATCTGTTTGGTTCAGTTTTAAGCATTCTGGAAATTCTTCCACCATGGTCCATAAAATGAAAGTTAATTTATATATATGATGTACATCAATTAAATATCATTTTCTATAGGTGACATTGTGATCTTTCTTGAAATACACCATGTGCTATGTGTATTATAACACGCAAATTGATTTCATGTTGAGAAATTACTCATCTGAACATATAAAACCATTTTAATTCCACTTAGGCTAGCTACATTCAAGGCTAAATCCTGCTTGTTACATCAATTTAGATCAGATTAGATTAGATGAGGCTCAAATGAAAGAAATGAATTGGAGTTTAAATCCATTCTCAGTTCAGTTGTGTATAATGCACAGCTGTTCATAGATCATCCTCCAAAATATGCACTGGAATTATGAATCGGCTCATTATGAATCGTACATGTTCGAAAGAGAAGGTTTATTGACTCGGGAACCAGTCGGGACGATTGCGGCCTGATTTCGCTTTCGTTTTCAGTACATAAAGATACATCTTTTCATTAAAGAGACACTGCAGATTATTACAGGAACAACCACCTGTCGCCATGTGGCACTAGTACCCGCAGTAAAAAAACCACCGCCACACCAACAGCGACCAAAAATTGATTGACGCATCTATAGACCACTAAGGTGTCTGCTTATAGCAGTGCAAACCAATGGCAGTGAAGAGGGGGCGGGTTCTAATGTGTTTCTTGATTTAACTTTGTAACGTAATGATCCTATGGTAATGATATTAGTTTACTATTTTAGTCGACAGCTAAAAACAGTTTGAAGGTCTAGCTCAGCGTCAGCTACTAATATCAAGGATTTGTCGAGAATTTCAGGTAAATGATAAATAAATGATGAACGTTATCAAAGACGTAACTTAAAGTGGATTGTCAACAGAGACAGAATATGACACACAGTCTAGATATCCTCTAACATAATGCCTTAAAATTGCACTTAAAGTATGTTTTACATACGCACAATGTGACAGAGAGTTAACATATTTATTTACTCTCACCCACATTTCTCTGTGTCTGTTGAAGGGTCGGTGGAAATGCATTTGTTTTACTTGTCGCTTGTTTTCTGCGTCCTGACTGCATGCCACATGACCACATCCACCTGTGATGAGCTCCTGACTTCAGAAGACGCTGAATTCTGCAAGTAAGACTTCATAATGTTGTCATTCTGTCCTGTGAGAATTTCATTGTGACCAATATCCTATTTTGGTTATTACAATCTCTAGGATAACAGGGTATGTGTACTTGTTACTATAGTACTGAACAATAATTATCTGAGCCAGGCCAAAATGTTTATTGGTTTAATATACTGGACATCCCTGTCTGCTTAGCTACTTAGTCTTTCCCTATACTGTATGTCAGTTCCAATATCCACCAGCATTTTTTTTTTCCTCTAACATTTTTTTTCCCAGTGAATATTCAGTGATTGCAAAATACATAAATTATATCCATAATCTTAAAATAACTTGAACTTTACTTTGGAGACACATCTGTCTAAATCTGTCAAAACAATGCTCTCATTTAAAGTAAATGTGCGCATGTATTTCTTTGCTCCAAGAGGGCTGTCACTATAATAATTATACTGTAAATTGCTATGGGTAAAAGCATCTGGGAAATGACAGCTGCCATTTACTGGTTATATATAATTCTTGGGATTCTGCATTATATTTAACATTGTCTTTATGTACATATGTACTATAATTACATAACAGATGCAAAATCCCCAAAAATAATTTTGACCCATATGCACTGTAAACTATGGGTATTAATGCAAACTTCTTTTTAATATAAAAGTTGCATACTGAATGTAGTAAACAGCTAATATGATTAAAAAGACCCTGAATGCTTGCTTAAAATACTGTAAAAAAAAAAAAAAAAATCACTATAAAAAAATGAACATCATGATTCCTTCAAATCTCTTAAATAGGTATTTTATCCTGCTGGGATTGGTTCGTTAGAATTCCAGTAGGAATCCAATACAAGTGTCTTTTAGCGTTCCTTTAGGAGTTTTGGACTAGGGTTAATTTCCAAACTATATTTCCTTAAATGAACTGATTTCAGAAGTCTGGCTTGTAGGCCGGTGTGGGATGTGTAGGACTCCCTCAGAGCACTGAGTCATGGATGCTTAAGCAGCCGGTCCCACTCAAAACCCACACAGCAAGCCTTACAAATCTAACAACTTACTCACTAGTTCAACTTGCAGTGTAATCATGGGCTATTCACAGTTTATATTAGTGTTTCATGACCTGTCATAGGAAACCATTGAATAATGATGGAGTACTAGGCATTCGTACCTGCATTTGTACTCTTTAGGGGAGAATTAAGGGTGATTTACCCTGATCTGGTTGTTGACAAATGCATGATCGTCCCTCAGAGGATCAGAGAGAAGATCAGTAAGGAGTGGGGAGCACCTCAATTACAGCTGCCAAGTGCTGTTGAGGTAAGAGAAATTCACTCCATAATCTCATTCTGACCTCTTTCTCACTCTATCAACTAGTGTTCAGCGGTTTAGCCTTTAACCTGCGATTAATAATGGTCCTCTGCCAGACTGTGTCATAATATAAACTTGGTGAAGTGTGTGCTAATTTTAGATGTTATAATACATTCTCCTATCCCGGTTTAATATGCACACACAGCTGTAAGGAAGCCATGTGTAGGTTGATTTCCTGACAAGTGGCAAATTCATCCACTGATCTGTATGTTTGAACATCATGCCCAGACTCACACAGCAATACTGGCTCAATGGCAATGACACACTTCAGCTTTGAAGTGTTGAAGTGTGAAGTATTGTGTTTCAGTCAAAATAGAAAGGTCTCTAATGCCAATCAAATGGTTCTTATCCACTCCATCTGCTATTTTAATTACTTAGGAGATTCTTTGAACTGTATTTCAAATCATATTTTGTATTTCATGTCATTCTGGTGTGTTGTTGTTATGTATTGTCTCCAGAAGATGGCGCAAGTGTTCCGTAACTGAGGCATATGTGTGCTGAAATGAATTCAATGTTATAAAGACAAAACTCTTTTTGAGTATGAACATAGAAACAGCATCTTTCCTGAACCTTAATGTTGCCTTAAAGTTTGTCTTCAGCCATAAAGGCATTTACATGAATGTGGTTGATTGTACTCAGAGGTAATCATAGATATTTTTATTATACTTTTTAAATTAAAGTCAGTGCCATATCAGTGCTGCAGTGATTCCATATATATATATATATATATATATATATATATAATTATATACAACATTTTGAACCATAACTCATTATCATTATTAGTTTTTATTAACTCAAAATCAGTATGTGTATGCAGTCTATATGAATCCATTTTCCACATTCCTGATCATATTAAGAAACTGTATTTGTAATGTATATTTGCATCAGCATAATTACAATGGATGGTAATATTTGCATTTGGAACTTTTTGGTTTGTCCCAATATCCTTCTCCACAACTTTAAAATAGCTTTCTTTTGAAATCAATATATTGAAATCAATCATATTTAATCAAACTAATGTAATAGTAATAATAATAAGATGAATGATGATGATGATGATGATGATGGTATGGATCTTTATCTTTAGACATTTACATTTACAACTTTGTTTTTAAGCAAACACGTTCTATTAAAAACAAATTATAATAATTGTTTTCAATTCATATTTAATCAAATATTATTAATATTTTTTAAAGAATTAATATTGTTTAATCAAATAAAAAGGATTTAAAACCCCTCTTTTTACAATGTAAATAATAAATATACTCCGTTTTAGATAAAGTAAGAGACAAAGAGGCCATCAATATGACTGAAGAGCCGTTGGACAGCTGTTATGTCAGGCAAACTTTGTCCGTCTCGCTAGATTGGTGTATTTGAGTTTAGAGCAGCGATGCTGTGCCAATCATTCTGGCAAACTTGAAATAGAATCAACTGTAGTGGAGAAAATCAGCAAAGTACCATGCCGTATCTGTAAATTGGAAAGCCACTTCAATTTTAGGAGCTAGTTTATAAATTCCATAGCTAAGCAGTCTGGCTGGAAGATGATCTATCGCCCTCATGTCTCCCAAACCCCAATTGATGTATGGTCGTATTATCTATTATGCTGTCCTACATGATTCTCTTTTATTGCTGGACTTGGTGTCAGACAGCAAAACGGATTACACGTGCGATCAAATCAATACCAACTTTATTTACCGGCCTTTCAAACGCAATTCCCCCTTTTGTGGATCTGATTCTGATAAAAACATATGGTAGCTGGAGGTCTGCGCTGCGAATTTGTGCAGGCTTTTCGGAGAGCGTACATGTCAGTCTTCGTTCTGCGGTCGCTCTCTCTCCCCCGCCCCCTTGACCCTGCCAGTCGACACTTCATCACCACGGAAATGAGAGGCCAAGTGGCGACGCAGCGGTCACTGGTTGTCGCTTTACCCCTGCGGTGACACCCACCTCATTACCCTGCTGGAGGCATGCTGGGTAATTGAAACAGAGCGAAATGGGCAGCAGTCCAGCACGTCCGCCTCTCAATGGGCTTTCATTACCCAAAACAAAAGCAAAGGGTCATGCTAAACAACAGATTTCCCTCCGTCAGCCCTCAAAGTAATGACTCAACCCTCAGCTTGACTTGAACTTGATTTTCACTCAAGCAACCATAATGCTTTAGTGCTACTGCCATCCAAATGTCTCCAAAAGTCATAACGCTTTCATCAAAGTAATGTGTTTGAGTGAATGTTTTATCATTTGCATACGGTAGGGATAACGGCCTTTGAAATCTCATCGTTTGTTGTGGCGTTGAGGGTGCAAATGTATTAGAGTCTGTCGCATGCACTGTTGTTTACTTCTTCACTCCGCCATTGCATACTAAGAAATTTAGATCTAGCTCTGGCGTTGTCAAGAATATTGTTGACAGTCATTTGAGCACTGTCTAAAGCTCTTGTAATTCAAATTATTTTAATCTCAGGCCATTACGGAGATAATTACATGTTTGTCTGGCACTTTTGGATGCTGTGTCAAAAATAGTTTGTTTACAGTAATGGTTGATGAACTTGGACTGTTTTAGCACATCTTTTTTTTCTTAAAATTGGCAACAGGTTTTATAATGATCTAGCATACCTGTTTTTTTGTGATATTAAAAATGCAGGCTTAAGTCAGGTAGTAAAATACCATTAGATGCTGGCTTTGGTAAAGAGATGAAATTTCTGTCATTATTTACTGAACCTCATGTCATTTCAAACCCGCAAGACTTCTGTTAGTCTTTCAAACACAAATGAAGATATTATTAATAAAACCTAAGTGTCTTTTGGCCCTCCATTGAATGTCAAATAAATCGAATCATTGATGCTTCAGAGAGTGAGATTGTAAAAGAAAAACAGTCATCTCTTCAGAAGACTTGGATTAAACCGCACATTTCATGTGGATTGCAATATCTTTATGAACTTTTTGAAGCATTGAAGTTTTGGTGGATTGGACTGTCAAGTGGAGGGACAGAAATCTCTGACGTTTCATTAAACCATTTTTTATGTTTCAAAGATTATTGACATGAGTAATGACAGGATATTACATTTTTGGGTGAACTGTCCCTTTAAACCAGACGTTATTAGGACTAGTTTAACAGGCATTAATACTAGAGCAAAAATCTCCCCTTTAAAAGGTGAAGTAATCTTGATAGAATAACTTGAACGCCAGTGTGCTTTTAAAATTTATTTACTCTCACACATACAAAAAAGAAAGTTCAACTGGATTTCATAAATGGTCTTTTATAAATGGGATTTGTTATGTACGGAATATTCTTTGGTTTCTCTTGTAATGATACCACATGTTCTCAGTTTGGAGAACAGACTATTGGCAGCATTCTGTGTACCAGCACTTGTGTTGTAACGCTTGTGCCATTTTCCAGACCCACAAATATCCCCGATTCATGTACATCATCAAAATGATTTCTTATCTATGAAAACAAGGCTGTGAGGGATAGAAGTACAGTGCGGTTCAGTGGATTCTATTGTTGTTTAACAACATACTGAATGTTCAGCTGACAAAACATCTTTCCAAAAAAAAAAAATCAGTAGACAAACTGCATAAAACAGTTTTGAATGTTGATAAAAAGTATGTGATGTACAGTATAGTAGGACCTTTATATGGTGCTTTCCATTTTTATAGACTAATAAGTCTGTCCCCCAGAGCCTCATTTTCATGCATATTAAGCTCAATATGGTGTCTGACCAGATTAAGGTCTATACATAATATGGTATGATTTGAGATCTTGGTACTTTTTAAGGTCCATATGAACTGATATAAAAATTTGCTATACTGATAGTCAGTAATTGTTTTTTTAAGTTGTGAGAGATTACCAATGTGCTGGCTAATATTATATATTTATACAGTGAAGTGACGTCTGGCCAAGTTTGGTGTCCCATACTCGGAATTAGTGCTCTGCATTTAACCCATCCAAGTGCACACACACAGCAGTGAACACACACACACCGTGAACACACACCCGGAGCAGTGGGCAGCCACTGGAAACATTTTCCATTATAAAGAACTTTTTGTGCAGTAGAAAGGTTCCATGGATGGTAAAGATTCTTCATGGAACCATCAATGCCAGTCAAGTGTCTGTTACCTGGTATATATATTTGAGTTGGAAATAATCCCCAATGCTATTCCAATATCGACTAATATTAATTATAAGGTTATTGATTTATCACGCATTCTTGCTTAAAAAGCATCTGTGAGGCTGTGTTTGGCATAGAGCAGCCGGTGATCTCCAACATTCTGCATGTTCTTACAGATATCTAGAGTGTAGATGTTTATTTAAACGTCTGCATAATCTTGTATTCTGGATGAACGTGAGATCTGGCACGCGTTATTTGCTGATCGAGAAGTATTTCGCATACTAGGAATTTTCAGAACTTCTCGACTCCATCCCATTTCCCCGAGCTCTTGTCGGGTGGTATTTTAGGATGTGACTTATTCCTCAAAAATCACGTTAACTTTTTTAGGCTGTCGCCCCCCCGCAGCTGTCGAAAGTCTCTTTGGCATAGGAAAGCAGCGCCTGTGGTTCATATGGGAACTTCTACTGTTTTATTCGGTGCTTATGAGAGATGAGCATGAGGTTTCTAAACCATTACAGTGATTAGAAAGCGCCTGGATGTGATCTCCTGAGCTAGCTTACTGCGCCGCTAATATCTCTTTTTCTCTCGCTCTCTCTGTGAGAGTGATTTTGTACGCTGTGCTTAAGACCATGCGTGGGGGCGTCGAGAGAGGATTTCAATGTGAACCATCCCTCCCTACTTCCTGCTTTTTTTGGCTTATTTCGGTGAAGCTCTCTGTTCTTTTCTGTTAGCTGCCTGTAATGACGACAGGGGCGGCATCTTCATCGTTAAGCCTGGCAGTGCCCACGGCTGCTAGTCGTCTCAGCACAGCGCTGCCCACTCACCCACGCTAGCCTTGGCACC